AGTTTTTCTCTAGTCAGAAATACTATTGTTATAGGAACTGCACTCCGTTTGTGGAATGACAGATGTAAACGCAGGTCGTCATTTTTTCAGATGATTAATTATAATATAACCTTTAAATATGCTCGATTGCGCTTCTCTGTTATAGGACTCTAGAACTCTAACACGTATTATCTGACAACAGGAAAAGTAAAAAGTTAGCAGTCTAGTATTATAATAGAAGTCTGTGAATCCCACCATGACTGCGCTTGCTTAGCGACGAGATACCATGTCTCCTGAATAGCTGATTACAGCAATTAATTTTATGAAGCAACGTGGATGTATCTCTGCGTGGATGTATTTACTGATCACCGATTTGGTGGAAGATTTTGAAAAGTTAAGATTTTTTATCTTCTTTTTTTGTTGAGTGAGGCAGTGGTTCCTAACTATATAATACTATTGATATAGTATTGATATAGTATTTGGTCACCGAAGACATGACAGACCCTGGAGGCTTATTACGGTTTTTGAAACGAGGTAAAAATTAAAAAGTAATTTGAATTTATTAGAATATTTATAATTTCATTGATCACCTATGATGTTTGCTTATTTTTGCAATTTTCACTTCGTCTAAAAAACCGTAATAAAACTATATATAAAACTATAAATAATTCTTCTGAAAACTTGTTTAAAAAAGATTAAAGGTGCCGACGCATATCCATACTATATTTTCTTATACTATCAGATCCCGCTGTGCTTTTCTCTTTTCATTTCAAACCGTAGACCAACATCAACTGTCAAGCAAGTGTCAAACATGATTTTAAGAGTTTATTAGAGTAAGTATTACGAAATTATTTGAAATGGATTCCTATTGGAATTATTCAATTATTTCCTACATTTCTATTGTGCTTTCTAGAAAACACGGAATAATTCCATAGGTAAGGATTCCGCCGAGCTATATGTTATAAGTATTATTGGTACAAACTGTACTTATTTATTTATTTATATTTATGTATTGATTTGTTAATTTATTCGGGAAGAAATGTTTTATATATAATTAATAAAATATATATATATATATATAATAAT